TCGTCCCTTGGTTACTTGTCTCTCTGACTTCACCAGAGCCCACCCTTATCTTTTTCTGAGTGCCTAGTAGCACAGATTTCCATGTCGGAGGGCCCTGAGTTCCAATCTCAGCTCCACTGCTTGCTTTTTTTTTTTTTTTTTTTGCACAGTATTTCTATCTACATTTTCACATTTGTAAAATGGGAGAAAAGTTTAACTCAAGGGTTGCGTGAATTAAATGAACTAATGTATAATTAATGTATAGAGAAAGTGTAGTAACTACTCTGTAACCATTAGCTCCCTTCTTCTCAGCACAATACCCTGCTCTAAATATAGTCTCACAAGGATTCAGAGTGCGAATGCATAAGCGAATGTTGAATAAAGGGGCTGCTTCAGTCTGGCTGTGTGTAATACAGCAAGAAAAAGTGTAAAGGTTTCCCATATTGGGAAAGAATTTTGATAATCAGTTTTAATTATTTGCACATTGATTTGTATACCAGGTATATAAAATTTAAAAAGAAGATGAGGTTCTGAAAAGTTTGACAGATTTTATTCTTAAATGATTAGAAAAAAAGTCACAACATTTTTATGATGCTATGGCCACTAATAATAAAAATAAATGACCAAAGGAATCAAGGAATTTAAAAGTAGGAAGCATTTAGAAATGGTGTAAGTTATATAATTTGAAATACTGTTCATGGCAGGAGTGGAAAATAAACATTTAAAGCGATCTATTAACTTTAGGAATAGTAGAATGGTTTTATTTTAGGAATAATTGGATGATATCAAGTAGCTCTGTAGAAATTATTATTTAAATTTACAGTTGGAATCCTAAGACATATCACTAATGCCATCTTATGTGCATCATCAGATATAAATCCCAGTGGCAAAACCCACTGGCTTGGAATCAGACTAGATTTAGAACAGGGCTCCTCAAGTGAGAACTAGTTAACAACTTGCACAAGTGATTCCACTTACTTTAGGTTTCTTTTCTTCACCTATAAAGTGGTTATATTAATATCACTAATGTCACTGGATTGTTAGGTAGTTGTGGATTTTAAGGCACGTGAAGTGTCAGAATGGTGTATATCAAGTTGAGTAGCGCACATTAAATTTAGATCTGACTGTAGTGGGCTCTCAGCAAATAGTTCATGATTGATTTAGCCTCACCGGTGGGTGATTTTGTTCTTCAGAGGACGTTTTGCAATTGCTGGGGACAGTTTTGGTTGTCACAGCTTGGTGTGGGGGGTATGCTATTTGCATCTAATGCATACAGGCCAGGGGTGTTATAAAATGTCATACAATGCATAGGAGAGAACTACACAAGAAAGAATTATTCGGTCCAAGTTAATGGTGTGGAGGTTGAGAAAACAAAATAAAGAATGGGTAAAATTCCTCTCTCTCTAGTTTACTTAGAAATAGAAGAGTGTTAAAACCCTCTGAAAAGGGATAAAGTAATGGAAGGCGTATTCATAGAAAATGAACTTCATGCTTCATACCTTCAAAATAATTATTAGAAAATAAAACATACAAGTTACATAAACCTGGATAAAATTCTTCGTTGTTTTTTTTCTTTTCCCCACACAGAATTATCAACTGGACTGCTTATTAAAACCCAGATTTCCAGGCTTCACTCCCAGCACATTGTGATTTGAAAAGTCTAGAGTCAGAAATCTGCATTTTTAATAAGCACTTCAGGGAATTCTGGTGCAGCTGGTTTATAGATGACGATTTGAAAGAATTCTTCCAAAGGGCTGAGTGGAGCAGATGCATAACTCATATAAATACTTTCGAAAATCCTGTAGCATTATGTAGCTCTGGTTCTCTTTATCCTTAAAGCCTTAAGCAGTCAGTCTCATTATTATCAATGATAATAAACAAAATTGGATGGATCTACAGACAGTGCAAGGTTGCCAGTATCTGGACAACCTGCTCATATGACCAAACCTCCTGTGTCATTAGCCCTTTCCACCTTTAATGCACAGATACTACATTTAAACTCCCAGAACAAAGGTATTTTTGCCTCACTGGCCTTTGGGAATATGCACCATTTAACACCAGGTTTAGGAAACACGCCCTATATACTTCTTATTCCTCTCAGCCCTAAAGGAAACCTCCACAGTGTTCTGGGAAATGCCCACAAAAACATTTGGATCGTAGACTTAAGAGAAGTGAAAATTATTTCAATTTGAAAATTATAATCAAGAATTAAAATACATTTTAAATCAATTTTTAGAGTGACTTTGGATTCTGTTTTTACAAAGATAGTTTATGGGATATTTGCATTTATTTTTTGAAAGATAAATCAATATTTGGCAGAACTTTAATGTCACTAGGCATGTGGCATTTTCATAGGAATAATTATTTCTAGAAATAGAAAGTTTCTATTTTGTGTCATACAGTTAGGAAATAAATTGTGCTTTGACACAAACACAAAGATACCTATTCAGCAAACAGCACAGAGGGGAAATGGAATAGAACATTCACCTTCTGAGTCACCATTTACCTCTGTGGAGAGAAACATCTGAGGACAGGGGATATTAGGCTGCATCGAGTAAACAAAAGTATTTGACCTGGTCAATGATTCATAGAGAAAGAGCTGATCTACTTCAAACCTTCATAAAGTCATTTCTCAAATTCCAATAGCAGACGAATAATGATCAAGGCTCCCTTTCAGAAACTCAAGCCCTTTATAGTTACATTTAAATGTACCCTCTGGAAGAATTAGAGCTTCTATGAGGCAACCAACTTTGACTGTGTTAAAAGACTCAATGTTTGTGGAGTAAAAATAGCCTCTTCAGTAAACGGTGTTGGAAGATCTGGACAGACACACACACACACACACACACACACACACACACACACACAAACACACAAGAAAAGAAAAGAAACTAGACCACCAACTTACACCATACACCAAAATAAACTCAAGATAGATAAAAGATTTAAATATAAATCGTGACACCATAAAAGTCCTAGAGGAGAACATAGGCAGGACAATTTCAGATATCCCACTCAGCAATATTTTCACTGATATGTCCCCTAGGGTAAGGGATATAAAAGGAAGAACAAACAAATGGGACTACATCAAATTAAAAAGCTGCTACATGGCTAAGGAAACATCAGCAAAATAAAAAGGAAACCAATCGTATAGGAACAGGTTTGCCAATGATAATTCAGCCTAGGGTTTGATCTCCAAAATATATAATGAAGTCATACCACTCCTCTCCAAGAAGAGAAACAATTCAATTAAAAAATGGGCAAAGGACCTGAACAGACACTTCTCCACAGAGAGGGCCCAGAGACATATGAAAGGATGCTCAGCATCACTAGCCATCAGAGAGCTGCAAACTAAAACCACAGTGAGATACCACTTCACACCAGTCAGAATGGCCATCATTAACAAATCAACAAACAACCAGTGCTGGTGAGGTTGTGGAGAAAAGGGAGCCCTAGTGCACTGTTGGTGGGAATGCAGACTGGTGCAGCTACTGTGGAAAACAGTACAGAATTTCCTCAAAAAAACTAAAAGCAAAACTGCCTTTTGACCCAGAAATTCCATTAAGAATCCTGAAACACCAATTCAAAAGGAGCTATGCACCCCTATGTCCATAGCAGCATTATTTACAATAGCAAAGGGCTGGAAACAGCCTAGATGCCCATCAGTAAATGAGTGGACCAAAAAACTGTGGTACATTCACACGATGGAACACTACACAGAAGACAAAAAGAAGGATCTCCTACCCTTTGTGACAACATGGATGGAACAGGAGAGCATTATGCTAGATGAAATAAGCCAAGCAGTGAAAGACAAACACCATATGATCTCACCTACAAGTGGAACCTAATCAACAAAACAAAAAAATGAGCAAAAAAGAACCAAAGACATGGAATTAAAGAACAAATGGGCTGTGACTGGAGGGAATGTGGGAAGCTATAAGGGGGTAAAGAAGGGGAAGGGTCAAGTCAAAGAACATGGACAAAGGACTCATGGACAAAGACAATGAGGATTTTCTTTGGGAGTGGGGGTTGGACAGGGCAGGGGAGAACAATGGGGGAAAAATGGGGACAACTGTAACTGAACAACAATAGAAAATAAATAAATAAATAAATAAATAATAAAGACTCAATGTTTGACTTGAAAAAACCTGCACAGAATACACAGCTAAGCTCATTAGAGATAGTATGTCCCAAAACTTTCATGCAAGAGCATATTTCTAAAGTTACCCAGTTACTCAGTTATGGGGATGTTTTTCTTGCTTAGAATGAACATTGTAAAATAGTTTTTTTAAATGATAAAATGGGCTTTTTACTTGCAGATTGATAAACGTGCTTACATCATAATTTTGCAATTTTTTCTGGAATCATTATGTATACGGATGCACTTGGTGGTGTGACTCAGACACAATGTCCCCACCTACCCACACAAAAAAAAAAGAGAAAAAAACTGAGACAGATACAGTAATAGTTATTTTGATTATAAAAACCTGTGCTATGGGAATCTGATTATGAGGTTTCTTGGGGCATGTAAAATATGATTTCATTCATAAAATTTTTATGAATGTTCTGATTTAAGGAAGTTGAAAACAGTTGTATAATGTGGGGTACAACTCCATTCAGGCATTTATTATTTCTTTGACAGCTCTTCAGTGAGTATCTGCTCTGCCAGACACATAGTATTGGGGATATACAGTTTATCATAAACAAGCTCTAACCCTTAAGAAGTTTGCATTGTAGACTGAAATGTAGACCAAAAATGTATATAATGATTCATTAAACATTTGCAATTTGTAATTGCATCTTTGAAGAAAATAAATACAAGTAAGTAAAACCAAATTTACTAAATTCTTCTTTAATTTCTTGTATTTCTAGCATTTGAAGATAGTCCACAAATCTGTTTCCAATGGCTGTAGTCAATCAAGTTCAGGACATATTTTATTCTTTTAGAAGAATATTCTACTTTAAATTTGCTTGTGCTTAACCTGAGAAACGTAGATCTATTAACTCCTTTTGTTTTTCAGGGTTTTTGGAGCTGCCATACTTCTTACCTCTACCCTGAATATGCTAATCCCATCAGCAGCCAGAGTGCATTATGGGTGTGTCATCTTTGTTAGGATATTGCAGGGACTTGTTGAGGTATGGAACTGCAGGATGACAGCATCTTAAGGTTGCCATGTTACTAAGAACCAGCAGAAAATCTTTCTCTTGATCTACGAATAAGTATGTCTTAATTCGGTTGTATCTACACCGTGTTAAAAAATTGGAAAAGTTAGGCAATCAGATATTTTGTCTTCAAATTATGCTAAATTACAACTGTGACTACTTACCTTTCCTTCTGTAGAATTGAATGGTATTAAGGAAATGCTTCGTGACTATTTGACTAAAAAAAAAAAAAAAGAATAGGCACTTTTATTAATGTATTATGATAAAAATTTTTGAGCTTGTACTTTGCTAGTGATAACCCTGAATTAACATCTTTCGGGAGTTTTATACCAAGCCCCTGTTGGCCTAGAATCTTTACTTGGGTTTTCATTAACGTATTTCATCGAATATATTCTTTGTGCATCTAATGCTAGTGACTGACTTTTCTCCATCAGCCCACTGCCTTTGAAAGAATAGCATTAAAAACTTGAGACTGGCCTACCTGTTTCCTCTTCTTTTTATATGAAATATGATGAGAATAGACAAATTAGATAAAGTATAAAGGCTGCAAACAATCTCCTCTCTCCAAAAAGAAGGAAAAATTGATAGGATCAAAATAACAGAAAAAGTATAAAGACTGTTGCTCCTTGATATTGGAGGGATATTGGTTCCAGAACCCTCCCTCCACAACTTTGGATATAAAAATCCATGAATGCTCAAGTTCCTTATCTAAAATAGTGTAGTGTTTGCATATAATCTATGTACATCCTCCCATATACTTTATACTATCTCTGGATTAATTATAATACCTAATACAATGTAAATAGTTGTTATACTCCATTATTTAAGGAATAAAAATTAGAAAAACAGGTCTGTACATTTTTAGTACAGACACAACTATGGTAGGCCCAACTACAATTGTCCATGTTAGCAACAAAGATAACATTTTTTCCCTAATATATTTTTTTTTTATCTAAGGCTGGCTGCATCTGCAGATGCAGCACTTGTGGCTACAGAGGGCCAACTGTATTTTAAGGATCTTAAATTCTAGACACCTCTTTTAGGAAGTGTGTTCAAGGATCTAAGCTTTACCTTCCTTTGCATGGATTCCTTATATTTGGAAATCACTGAGTGTAATGCCTCACAAAAAGGCATTCCAAATTTGTTCAGAATTGCAGATAAACTGAATAATATAGAATCTTTTGTTTTGCCTTGATGAGAAGAAGGTTGAGGTAGAAATAAGGCTTGAAGGGTGGGGAGGATTTTAACAGGTCACTAAAAAGAGGCCACGTCTTGCCTGGTCTGGGATGAAAGTTTTAGAATGGAATTTCAGGGAATCAGCAAATTCCCATGAATAGCATCTTTCTTTTGTGCCCATTCTAAGGAAACAGCATCAGAGAAGGGAAAGTGCTTATTTTCCAATAACCCTGGATCCTAAATGGTGATATATATCTTCCCCCATCACAGGGTGTCACCTACCCAGCCTGTCATGGGATATGGAGCAAATGGGCCCCTCCCCTAGAGAGGAGTAGATTGGCAACCACCTCCTTTTGTGGTAAGTACTGTGTGCTGATGTAGTTATGTTGGCTGAAAGTTTAGGAACAACTTGAATGAGAATTGAAATTTGGTAAAGCTCACCTGTAAAACCATTTGGGTACTGTGTCTATGTGTATGTGTGTGTATGTGAGGAAAGGTTTTTTGACCACTATTTCAACTGGTCCCCTAAATCCTCTATTTCTTCTAGTGCTTTGTATTTTTCTACTTCACCCATTTTATCTAGGTTTTCAAATATATTTATGAATGATTCTTATTATAGTTTTTAAAATGTAATTTTTATCATAGTCTCATTTTTAAATCTTTGTTGTGTCTTGGGTAAGTTATATCTACCTGTATAGTCTTATATTCCTGGATAAATATGTAGGCATATATGTGTGTTCGGAGGTGTATGGGTGTAAGTATGCATGCATCCAAGTGTATAAGTGTGTATTTGTGTGAGTGAACTAAGGAACATGAGATAAAGTCAAGAATCTTTACTGATTTCACTTACCTTTCTCCCATTCTCCCTTCTACTTTAGGTTCCTATGCTGGAGCTGTGATTGCAATGCCTTTAGCTGGCATTCTTGTACAGTATACTGGCTGGTCTTCAGTATTCTATGTCTATGGTATGTTGCATTTCTATACAATAGAGTTAAAAGAAATGTGCATAAGCTAAAACAATGAGATAAATCACTAAATATACTTCTATGTTTACTTACTTTTTTCCCATTAAGAATCCTTTCCTTATATTCTGAGATCAAGGAAAGTGTTCTATGTCTATGATTTTCCCTACATTGTCATTTATTGCTTAAAAAAGCAACCACATTGCGGATGGAAACTTTGTGACATGATGTATATTGCCCTTAATTATGAATAAAAAATTTTTAGCTCTTGATTCAAAGCTGATTAAAAGGAAAGAGCTAGGCAGCACCCACTTCTACTCTTTGCCACTGTTTTCTTGGCTGGTTCCCTGATCGTGCCTCCTCAAGACTGAATAGGGTCAGAAAGCTGGACGGCAATAGGCCCGCTCAGGAAACAAACCAATTTTGTGATGAAATATTAGCCACCTCTTGCAGCAGTGACACATTTTAGTCCTCATTCCCTCTGAATTAAAGGAGATTAATCTCTGAAATAGAAATTTTAAAATGATGAGTAACCCTAAGGTCAAATTCCTTTTCTGTTTACTATCTAATGAGAAGCTGAAAGCTTACCACTTGAAAGTACCCCTAAAGTCTCTCACTAAGAATCACTTTTTTTAAAGAGGAAAGAAAAAAAATATAAGAGAGATAGATCCCAACTGATATTGTCACTGATTAATACCACCTTTCAACATGAGCATGAGAATCTGAAAGATTAATGAAGTCATGTGGCCGAAAAGAAATTATCTGGCTGTTTCCAAATTTGCAATGATCCATTTCCATTTCGACATGTTTTCATCAGAGCAAATCCTTATGTTTGTAATGTTCTTAAATATGCTTTACAAGAGGGGCTCCTGTCCTGGTTCAAAAGCCCTGTATAGCTTTTGGATTTATGTATGTTCTAAATTGTAAGCCATACATGCACTTGTACATATTTTTTTCTAGGAAGATCTTTTTATCAGATTTTAATCCATACCTCTCATTAGACTTTCAAGGCTCATAATTCAAAAAGTTTCAAGTGTTTATATGTTGGGTTTATAGTACAAGTTGGGATGGCCAGCCATTAAATCCTTTGTTTTGTGCCTTAGTCCGTTAACTTAATTGAAGACACAGTGTGGCTTTAAAGTAAGGATACCAGTTTCCACAAAGCATTTATGAAAACCAATCTCATTATTTTAAGTTATTTAATGCTGTCATTGAATGGTACGCAGTTTAAGTATTAGATAATCTGAAAATATCATATCATAGTACTTGCTTACTTGCTGTATGTAACAAAAATTGGGTCTTTGAGCCACATATTTAATATTGATCATTTAAAACACAGTAAGATAAAACCTGCATAGTTACTAAAGTTTTAAAGATATGATTCATAGAGGGTGGTGCAAAAGTGGGTTTAGGTTGTTTGTATTGAAAATAATACAATAATTAATAAATAATAATACAAGAATAAACTGTTTTGTGTACTTACAGCTGTAGACCTACTTTTGCCACACCCTGTAAAGAGCAATTAGCTGAGTATCTGGCACTTCTGATGCATTCAGAGAGTGGTAATGATAATTATTTCTAAGTTCTAAGAACTCTCATTAATTGAGTTCTTATTTTGAGCCCTCCACTGTGCTAGTTGCTTTATGCATCATCTCCTCTAACTTTTCTTTGCCACATGTCATAAAAAACGAACTATTATCTCATTTTATAGTGGGAGTTTAGAGAGATTCAGTTCCTGATCAGATCATGTAGCTAATGAATGACACAGCTAGGACCCCAATCTGGAAGGGCCGTGTTCCATCATCACAACACTATACCAAATTTTCACCATCTGACCCAAAATTGTGTGTGCTGTCATGTTCAGTAATTAACAGAACCATGGTGCATCAGGAGCTATGGTAGTAAGGAACACTTCTGAGATGTTGAGCCAGCAAAAAAAAAAAAAATATTATGTAGGTCAGGGACATTCAGATTTTTGCTCAAGGGAGAAAGAACAGTATGAAGCAAAAACAAAATGGCTAGCAACTAAGGAACAAGAATAAATCACAAGAAATTGTTTTTTTTAATTAATGTTTCCAGATCTACATTGCACAATAAAGGCCTGTTTTAATGGTGAGAGTGCTAAATAAAGAAGGAGTGGAAAGAATTTGCAAACATTTATTGTTTTGAAATGTATAACTTTCATCTGCCCCCAAAATGATTAATAGGCAATAGCATGTACTGAAAATAATATGGTGTACAGCCAAATAAGTGGGAAATATTACTACATTAGTTATAGAAGCCCATTTTTTAATATGCAATAGTCACTAAAGTTAAAATTATTTTCTAGGTTTTATTTAATAGTCTGTTTACTAGATCTAAAGTGCTATTAGGAGAGGTAAATGAACATTTCTTTTCTCTGGAAATGCAAACCACTCTCACACAATCAAGATAGGCCAATAACAAAAGGATTCACTCCTCATAAAATCCTTTGAGGGAAGAAATTTTGTCTTGCTCATCATATTTTTCTCACTTAGCAGAGTGCCTGGAAAAGTTACTGCTCAGTGAGTATTTGTTGGATGTATGAACATGTTCCAAACCACACCATTAGATAGTTATTTATTGTGTGTATCAGCATTATTTAAAAAAAAAAGAGATAAATATAGGACCAGCCTTCAGGAAGATTGAAGTATTGTGACAAAAGACAAGAAGAGATAGCTAAAGTCAGTTGTAGAAACATAAAGTTGAATTCACATTCTATGGAATGTGTTTGTCACAAGATATTTGTAGTCTTATTCCAGCAAATGACTGTTAAGTGGAAGTATTTGCAATGGTTTTCTTTGACTTTCTCCTTTTGAACTCTTGCTTACAGGAAGCTTTGGGATGATCTGGTACATGTTTTGGCTTTTGGTGTCTTATGAGAGTCCTGCAAAGCATCCTACTATTACAGATGAAGAACGTAGGTACATAGAAGAAAGCATTGGAGAGAGTGCAAATCTTTTAGGTGCAATGGAAGTAAGAATTTTATTATGGTGTATATTTCTATTCTTATTCTCCATCTCATCTTCCTCCAACCAACCAAATTATTTTATATTTTCCTATTCAAAAAAACTAATTTGGTATCAATCGTGATTTTCTTTTTACTTCATATTCCCTGACTTGCATAGGAATTATTGCTACTTCTTCCATCTATACTTTTTTTCTTCATTAAGCATCTTCAAACTTGCCCTGTGTTATCACTATAACTGTAAACATAGATGAGTTTTAAAAACAGTTCTATATGGTCCATAATTTAAACAAATTCAACCAATAGTTAATTTTAGATTGTAGGAAATGCCAAATCACCAAATAACCTACTATAGTCATGGAAAAGACTACTTTTTTTTTGTTCATTAAATAGTCTAAATGTAGATTTTCTATATGTATATTTATATGTGGTTTATTAAATACTAAAACATTAGAATGCTAATAACAGCTGACGTGAAAAATATTCTTAATATATTTTTTATGAAATATTACCATTTTTAGGATTATTATTATGAAAATCAAGTATTATAGAGATAATGTTGAAAGCCTTTTTTTTTCTGGTCATGATTAGGTTTCTTGGACAGGATCTGCCTACCAAGAGTGAAATGCAGTTCTCTGTCAATAATGCAAATATTTTTGTCCATGTGACATTAATATATTATAAATAGTAACTAGTACGAAGCCATAGGATACTATTTAAAAACTGGTAAATGGAAGTAATATATTGAGACAGGTTCAGTAGTTCACTTAATCAGTAACTCACTTAATCAGTAACTCAACTTCCTTACGCTAAGAGTTGGAAGGTAACGTAAACTGGCTGAGGAACCAGTGGCCCTTGCATGTTTCTTGTCTTTCTTTTTGAGGCTCCTCCCCACATTCAATTGTATTTTATTCCAGCTCTGCTTCTCTACTTCATTTTTAGAGAAGGCCTGTCTTTGACATCTCATTCTAGGTAAAAAGGTCTGTTACCCATTGTTGCTAAGTATATGTATCTTGACCTTTAATGAATAAGAAAAATTCCATACTGGATATTATTTAGAAGTTAAACTTCAGTGCTTCAAAGTAATCCTTACATTGCAGTTGTTCATGAGCAGAATAGACTGGCATTAGAATTTTCCCCTTCTGGTTTTCTTCAAGAAATGGATTGATAATTTCTTTCTCATGGTGGCTATTCAAAACACAGGTGGCAGAGTGGGGTGGGGGGGTGATGGCCCTGTGCTTCTGTCCCACCAGCCACACTTGCTACAAGCAGAAGCTAAATATAGGCTGATCCGAGTGTGTTCAGAGTTCAGTTTCAACTTCTAGCCAAAAACAACCTGATCATTAGTTAAATGTGATTCTTTTGTTTACCAGTTCTTGAGATAATGTGCATCTACATCAAGTATGAATTTTTTAGAACAATCAGAAATTTAGTCCCAGTGAAAACCAATTTCTGAAATGACCTCAAAAAGACCTTAATCTCAAAACTCCCTTTTTTATAACTTACTGCTTTCTAAATATAATATTTTATATCTTACTGATATTTTATACTTTCCTTTAGCTTCAAAGTAAATTTTTCAAAATGAGATCAGCTGAGAATAGAGCTTATACTTTAACTTTTTATTGTGAATAAATTTAACATGCAAGAACAGTAACAGGAACATCCATATATCCACTGCATAGATGTAACAGTTGTTAACATCTAACCCTATTATTTCACTTGTTTTTTGCTGCATAATCTCAAAGTAAATGAGATATCATAAAACTTTATCCACAAACACCTCACAAATATCTCTAGAATAATAAAAATATTCTCTTTTACAATCTAAGTTCTATTATCATACCTAATACAATTAAAAATAATTCTATAAATTATTTAATACCTAGATATTCAAATTTCTAATATCCAGTCCAAATTCTAATACCTAGTCTATATTCATATGTCTTTTATACTATTTGTTTTGAGTTTGGATCCAATTAAAGATTGCATACATTGCAGTTGACTATAATGCCTCTTTTGAAAAAATTAATTATAACATACATACAGAAAAATGCACAAAAACGTAAGTGAAAAGCTTACTGAATTTTTATACTCTAACTACACTGGTGAAGCAAACAGCCAATTCAGTCAGTAGAATGTTATCAGAATACCACAAACCCTCATATAGCCCATAACAATTCTTTTAAGGTATAAACTTAGATTCTTTTCTCTTATATTTGATGAAGTGTTCTGCAACCTGAGGAATAAAGTTCTTAGCGGAGATAATCCCAGTTAAATACAAGAAATGCCAGAACAGCAGGAAAAAGTTATTTACTTCTAATAATATTCAAAGGTTATTTATTATACAAATATCCATAATCCAGACATTCCTTATTTGGCCACTTTTATTATCAATGAATAAATATATTCACCTGGCACCATTTTCCCAGAGTATATCAAATTTAAGGAAAAAAACCCCCTGCACTTTTGAAACCCATCTATGATGCTATCATTTAAAATTTTTATCCAAAGCCATAGAACTCATTATACATTATTAGGACAGGATTTTGTATTGTTTTGTTTTTTTTCATCATATATATACCTGTGATCACCAAAGTATAACTTTCTACTGTATTGCTTATAAAATGATCTTTAAAAGGATTAATTAGAATTGCAATCAATGATAGCAATGATGAGGTTCTATATGCACAAATAATTACTAAATCTGTGTAAAAAGAAAGTTTGCCTCTTCTTTTTAATTTTTTATTTTTATTAAATTTATTGGGGTGATGATTAATAAAATTATATAGTTTTCAAGTGTACAGTTCTAAAACACATATGTATATTGCATTGTTTACCTCGCAAAGTCAAATCTCCTTTTGTCTCCATACGCTCCCTGGAACCTTTACTACCCCTCCCCACTCTCCTTTCTTTCTGGTAACCACCATGCTATTTTCTGTGTGTATGAGGTTTTGCTTGTTTGTTTGTTTGTTTGGCTTTTCTGTTCATTTGTTGCTTTCAGTTTTATATCCCATGTATGAGTACCTTCTCTTTTACTAATTTGGTCCCGAGCTAGCATTAAACAAAATTATTTTAGGTTATTGTTTCTTCACCAAACAGTACCTTGGTGTTCAAAATAAAGTAATTGAAACAGTGTTTGAAAACGTGAGGAATATTTTAAGGTGTAAAAATTAGTCTTCAGACATTTGTTTTATATTTGGGCATATCCAGGATTTTAAGTATACTGGGTGTATTTTTTAATGGGTGTTATAAGCAAAGCTAATGGTATTCAGGTTGTTCATTTTGAATGTCTTGAATATCATAAATAACTACAGTCGTGTGCCTGCTAATGACTGGATACATTTTGAGAAATGCAGCATTAGGCGATTTAGTTGCTGCATGAACATCATGGAGTGCGCTTACACAAACCTAGATGGCATAGCCCACTACTGTAATTGTATGTGCTATACTTTTATATGACTGGCAGCGCAGTAGGTTTGTTTACACCAGCATCACTGCAAACATGCGAGTAATGTGTTGAGCTATGGTGTCACTAGACTATCGGAATTTTTTAGCTTTGTTATAATCTTATAAGCCCACCATAATATATGTAGTACCTCATTGACCAAAATGTCGTTATGCAATGCATGACTATAGTTATGATGTGCCTATGGTGTGCTGGGTGGCCAAATGCTTTAACCAGATGTATATCATGTGAGTTTTATAGAGCCTTGCACCCCAATGTCATAGAATTTATACTGATATCCATTCGCTATCAAGATCGTTTATAGATAGGTAGTGGTATCATTGTCTTTGAATAAAGCCTAGATTATTGCACTCTTAATTTTTCTTATTTTTATTTCCCTAAGTACATTGAATTTTCAGTATTTCAGATAAAATATTTTGGATACCAACAAGGTCATTGATTCATCAGTGAGTTTTGGTGAAGCAAGATCTATCACTGCCACCTCCCCCAAAATCTTGAAAACTGAGACCAATGCTTTTGGAATTAGGTTTATATAAATATGGAATCTTGTATATTTCCAATACTGAAACAGTTCATCAGAATAAGAGGCTGATACTTTATTTTTTTTACTAATGATTATTCATGCAGCTCAGGTTAACTGGAATGTTGAAATTAACAATTCACCACTTCCTGCCTACCTCCTACTCATGCCCCAACATACACATCCTGAAAATGCAAAACACCTATCATTCCTATGTAAGTAAGAATATATCTTAAATGGTCAGAATGGCTCTCTCTTTGGGATTTCAGAAATTCAAGACTCCATGGAGGAAATTTTTTACATCTATGCCAGTCTATGCAATAATTGTCGCAAACTTCTGCAGAAGCTGGACTTTTTATTTATTGCTTATTAGTCAGCCAGCATATTTTGAGGAAGTCTTTGGATTTGAAATCAGCAAGGTACGTACAAATTATCTTTAGTGCATGATTTTTGTATTTAAGTGAATATTAAGTTCCTTTGCCAAGATTTTATCTTCTAAACTCTGTAAGTTATTTATTCAGTCAACAAATAACTTTCGGGAAACAAAGACTAAGTAAGGAATCAGTCAGCTGCCTTCGACTGTCTGCTAGAAACTGCTCTTTATTGCAGGACATACAGACAAAACAGACCGAGTCTCTGCCCTCACGGGGCTTCTGTCTCAGTTGGGGTGGACATCAGAGTCACCTTTTCTCTGCAATTAAACATAACTTCCTTTAAATGTCAGGTTAGAGACAACGTAACAGTAAATGCAAAAGTATTTTATTAAGGTGGAATTGTAACTATCATTCTAACCCTTCTTCAATGCTCTCAGAAACCTGTCTGGCTAAAAGATTTGGAGATAAAAAAAAATCTGAAAACATTCTTGTATGTTGCTTATTTAATTTATTTATTAAACAATCATTTGTTGAACATGATATGTGAAGCTTTGTGTTAGATTCAGAAATAAGAACATGGTTCCTGCCCTTAAGGGTTCACAGCTCAGCGGCGTAGACAAAAAAATGAAGTAAATAAACGTTACCAATTAAATCACAGTGTGCTAACTGCTCCAGACATGTATTCATAGCCATGAAAATACAATCATTTTTGAGATTTTTCTGTAAGGAGAAAATAAACATAATACCACTTTATATTTATATAGGGTTTGAAATTCACAAGGCCCTTCACATTCGTGAACAACCTTGTGTGGCTGAACAGGGGATAACTATCATGGCTTCTCTTGAGCCGACTCAGAAACAGAAACTAGAAATGGTTTTTAAATTGCCTGAGACCAAACCGGTGATAAATGACAGAATCAAGTTTAAGCCCAGATTCTTTGATTTGTTTCAATTTCCTCTACTATGCCATTTACATTCAGGTAAACCATATATTAATTTAAGCATTTAGCAAGTATTTGTTAAATGCCATTTCTGTGCCAAGCCCTTTGCTGAGTCGTGAATACACTTGTCTGTGCTGGCAATGGACTTGCCATTTCTCTTCATGTCATTACATAAGTCCAGCTGGGCTCGCTATTCATATTATGTCTCTACTTGAAACACTGTCTGAGGCCTGGAACTGAAGGAAGCCTGAGTTTAGGAGTAGCTATTCTAAGAGCTCTTTTGTAAACCCTGTTTCTAAGGAAACTGTTTCCTCCATTGCTGAGAAGAATGGCTGCTTTAGACAGGGCTCTTCTCTCTGGAGCTGATCAAACGCAGAGTCGCCTTCGGGAGCTCTGAGAGGTGCTACACTTCTCAACAAAGGCTGCTGGAGGTGTGAGTTCACTTTCATAATCTAGGACAAATATGACACTGAGAGGCTATTGATAAAGTCCGGTCTCATGGGAGGAGTGAAGGAACCAGCTGATGTTGATGGCACTGCAGGGTCATTCTGGCCCTGAGGCTCCAGTTAATTGAAAATGCTTGAATAAAAGCAATAATATTTTATAAAAACTAACTAGAATAACTGGATGGGTGGATTTCATTCTGTTATTACATTTTTAACTAAAATTATAAATAAATTCTATACACACAGATTTGCTCGAAGATTTTGATTATACTGGTTAAAAAAATAAAGTCTTGAGTTACCTGAAAAACATGTAATGGAGGTAATGAAGAAAATACAGCATGGGCTTTGGATCTAGGTTGATATGGCTCAGAAACCAAACTCTACAATAAGCTCTAATAATAATAATATGAAACACTTCCATCTAAAGTGAAAGAGAACTGAATAGCTTGGAGATATAACCTATTTTAGAGTCATTCGCTATGTCAATTAATCCACTCAAGCACATGGTCGTGGCACCACACTATACACCACTGTGATATAAAACACAATCTTTTTCTTGAAACTTCAATAATCTAATTTGAAAAACATGTTCACATCAAATAATAAACTTATCCAGTACTTACCATTTGCCAGGAACTGTGCTTAAAATTATACTTAGTGTAAAAAATAAACCAAAACCCTCCTTATATGCTTATGTTGAATATTCAAAATATACTAAGTCCATGTATGTAGAAACACACAATTAAAATGCATTTTATTTGTATTTTCTGCCTCCATAATGCTTAGAGAATAGTGCCTTACACATAATTATTGGTCAAAAAATGTGTGTTGAATTAAGGCTGATGGGTTACATTTTAGACTGTATAGAAACTATATTTCATTGTATGGTAATGTGACCAAATATTGATATTTGACGTGAAAATGTCTAAAAAATGATCTACATTCTCTGGGTTCTTAATTTGTAGAAACTGAATATAAAACTTATAAGAGATATATATTTAAAATGCAATAAAAGTTGTTAGCCTTAACATAGAGCCTCTTCAAAGTTTTGCCTAATATATTTCCCCTCAGACTCTGTCTCCATCTCTCCCTCTTCTACTTGCCCTTCTTCCTAATGATACATTTTTGCAGACATACTTAAGAAAATGAAATAGGCACATAAATGGGAATCACTCTTTAATAAGATTAAAGATAGCTTATTCATAACTCAATATTTACTGACTCATAGAATAGAAAACCAGTATTCTCTTCTAGAACATAAAAAAGGGATCAAAGTAAAGTTACTTGGCTTTTCTCGCTTATTGTGCGGAAGTTATTATTTATTCTAGGAAATAAGTGGCCATTTGGAGACAGTGTTTTTCCTGCCTTTGTCCATGCAGAGTTTAGGATGGGTTCAGGAAATCAGGTTCATTACATTGCCCACAGTAGTTAGGATCACGTATATCTCTCCCCTCTTGTTTCTCTTCAGGTTGGCATGCTGTCTGCGGTGCCACACTTAGTGATGACAATTATTGTGCCTATTGGAGGGCAGATTGCAGACTTTCTAAGAAGCAAGCAAATTCTTTCAACTACTACAGTAAGAAAGATCATGAATTGTGGTGGTAAGTAAGTGATGTTTAAATATGTTTTTAGTTCATGAAGTTCTGATTTACATAAGTAGTTTTTTCTGTGCATATCAAATATGCAGATAAATGTGTCTTCATTGTTCATTTGTAATCATCTTCCTGCCTTTAGATTTTTATAACTCCTAGTTTTAAATAAATTCATAACTAACTTAACCCTTCCGATCATTGAAACTTAAGGTTGTTTTCATGTTTTTATTAAAACACAAGGAAGGTTTCAGTAATCGTTGTGTACACAGTATAACTGTTATGATTATTCTTAAGATAAACTAACAGAAGTGGTTTGCTAGGGCATTTTCAGCAGCTTTGGCTCCTTAGGAAAACTTACACAATTTTCTGACGTGTTTTTGTGTGTTTGTTTCTGAAGGTTTTGGCATGGAAGCAACACTGCTTCTGGTTGTCGGCTATTCTCACACTAGAGGGGTAGCTATCTCATTCTTGGTACTTGCCGTGGGATTCAGCGGATTTGCTATATCTGGTAAAATTTACATTTTTAAAATTTGTGCTTGTGACATCTGATTTTGGCTGGTGATAATAAGATCTATCTAGTAGAATAAGATATTCTACTTTCTGCTTTAAATATATTTAATGTTAAGAAAGTTTAGTCAACATATTTCCACTAAAAATTAAATAAAAATAATAAAACATTTAGAAAGCATTATTTAGATTTGTTACTGCTCAGTTTCTCACTGCTTACCCTTTTTATTTACTTACTTATTTATTTCGGTTAAGAGAACATATCTCCTTCCCTCTGTGGCTTGAGCATCACGTATTAAGTATTAGATAAGAAATTATACCTCATTGTGTTGTCATTTTATCCCTGAGCTAAATTATCAAAAAGGAGTTATTAAGCACTTACTGTGTACCTAGTATCTTTTAAGGAGGGTGGGGAGTGTGGTATAAAATATTCTATAGGCACTTCTAACAGGCTTGGGATTCTCTGAGTCAAAGGTTACGTGTGCATTTCAGGTTTCAATGTTAACCACCTGGATATTGCTCCAAGATATGCCAGTATCTTAATGGGCATTTCGAATGGTGTTGGCACATTGTCAGGAATGGTGTGCCCTATCATTGTTGGTGCAATGACAAAGAATAAGGTAAGATGGAACAAAACAGCTGTTCAGTTGTCGAAGAGTCTTTCTTATGGTTGGGGAAAGGGTTAATATATTGTCTTTGGCATTTCTTTTCTAATCCACTCACCACACTTCTGAGTAGGGGAGACACTTGAGGCTCAGAAGAAAATATCTAAGAAATCTGGCTGAGCCTCTTTTCCCATACCACTAGCAACATGCTTCTCAACACCTTTGAATATTTCTGATACCCCTGATATAGTTAAAAATAAACAAAACCTTTTGCTCCTAGCTTATTAGAGTAGGCAAGCAGAAATCTTCTGAGCTTTATTTACAAACCTCAGTTCAGACTTCTTTGCAGTTTTCAGTGGAAGAATATAATTACCAGTTATTGTCCTTATATATACAGCTTCAAATTATGGATTAATAGAAGAATATAAAAGAAGCAGGAGAAAAATATTAATTAAGTAAATCAATTAAAAATATGTTTAAAATTAAACCATAAATATATTTGGAGTTTTATTTCAGAACATTAGATTTTAAACTTTTTAAATAAAATAATTATATATTAGAGAAAGTTTCAGTCACAGGATTTGCTTCAGATCATCAGAATAGGGGTTTCCTCTGAAACACGGCTGTCTGTTCTCACATGCCCCTTTTGTCACTGCAGTCGCGTGAGGAGTGGCAGTATGTCTTCCTGATCGCTGCCCTCGTCCATTATGGCGGAGTTATATTTTATGCAATATTTGCCTCAGGAGAGAAGCAACCCTGGGCAGACCCTGAGGAAACAAGTGAAGAAAAATGTGGATTCATCCATGAAGATGAACTTGATGAAGAAACAGGAGACATTACTCAAAATTATATAAATTACGGTACCACCAAGTCGTATGGTGCCACCACACAGGCCAATGGAGGTTGGCCCAATGGCTGGGAAAAGAAAGAGGAATTTGTACAAGAAGAAGGACAAGACTCATACACCTATAGCAACCGAGATGATTACTCATAACAAAGCTAATTGCTGGATTTATTTTTAGTGTTTGTGATTAACTTAATTGTGATTGCACAAAAATTTTAAAAATATGTGGTGTAAACATGTAAACATATCAACCAGGCAAGTCTTGCTGTAAAAATGAAATCAAAACAAACTCATGAAGTTACCATCAAGTGCAATCTGTAGAAGTTGTGAAATTCTATCATTTCCATTCAGGTCATCTATTCTTGCGTTTGCGATTTAAAGGTTGACTGATCAAAAACTGTAGAAGCAAGTAGTTACTCATTGGATTCATATGAGCTAAAAGTCATCACCATTTAATAAAGCACAACTAAAACAGTTGGCACATTGCATCCTACAAAGGTTAGGAAGCCAAAGCTACTTGATCATGTAAAATGCACTTATATATTTGTTACACTGTATTGCAAGATCTCATGCAGAAGTCCTGTTTTGACAAAAATGTAATATTGTCATGTTGCCTGCATCAGATAATGGCAACGTTTATTGAGTGTAAATCATGAAGTTGGGATATCTCAATTCGAGAAGAATATTGTGGGCTAGCAACTAGCAAGGCATACTAAATAATTATTGTTATTACATAATGTGGAATATTTTGTTGGTTATCCAAAGGAATGTGTTGCAATGTTTTATATGAAATGTTTGGGCACAAACATATATCTGTGAAAGAGAACTTGTCAAGTGTGGGGTATGCTTCATGTTCTTCCATTCATTTACCTAACAGTATAAAACACTTCACATTTTAATAAATTTGACTTTTCATGTAGCATATCACATAACTTTTTTGCAAAAAAATATTAAAAAAGACTTCAATGTATTTTTATTACAACTTTGTACAGGTTGTAACTTGGCATTAGAAAAAAAAGATGCACACACCATAAAGAATCTAATAAGAAATTTGCTATGGAAATAGAACCCTGAAAATGCAATATTAACAACAAAAGGAATAGAAAATGGTTTAGATATTCTTCTTCCTTAATAATTAAATACTATATAAAACTTGTGCCACAGAGGTATATATAATATAAAAAGATAAATTTAATAGAGATTGTAAGTAGATAATTTTATTATTTAAAGTCCCATTTAAAATATATTTGTCTTATATAGGACAATAAATTATATTAAAATTATATCTCTATATATCTGTATATCTTATACATATCCATACACAGAAACATAATAAACAATCTTCACAAACAAACCAAAAATAGCATACACCTAATGTTGGGTTAGGGGACTGCAATTTCTACTTTCATAGAGTCATAGAATTTTAGATGAGGCAGAGGCATTTTGCTTGTCACTTATTAATAATACTCAACAGGAATTGCAACATTTGTGTACCAAGCAATAAGTGCAATGCATAAAATTTCCTGTCTGTATATTGTCTTTATTTTGCTTGTGGTAGCTTTTCAGGTGGTAGGAATGATTTTTTTCTTTAAAAAAATTTAACATCAGATATCTTTTTAATGTTCTAAAATGATAATAATGCATTTCCCAATTCAATTCAAAATATTATTGGTGTATTTAATTGTCTATTCTGAATATTCAACCTGTTTAATGTATTGTGCTAGTGACTGGAGGCCCTGCTACTGCAAATATAAAACATAAAGTTTGTTTTAAAAATGCAGACCATTCTTGACCTTAAGAAAATAAAAATACCTTCTGCTTTGTGTCTCAAAGTGATGTAATGTGATCATAGCTTTTGTTGTGTTGAATGAAAAAAAAATGTGCACTATCATTTTTGTTGCTGCAAAAAAAGTGTTAATAAAATGCTCTATTTATCCTTTTGTAAAAAAACACACTACATTAATTTGGGATTATTTTATTTAGATTACAGCTTTAATATGAATTTAACATGTGCATGATCCAAGGAAGCCAAATTTAGACTCAAGAATTATTTTTTTTTTTAGCTACCTGAGATTTAATAGAAAAACATAGCTTTCTTCAGATTGTGTGAGATATGGTTCAATAGAGAGAGTTTCATATCAAGAAATAAGTCTGTGAGTCAAACTGTATCTTTCAATGGCAGCCTTCTACAACTTTTGCTAAGCTTAAAGCAAATTTTAGGGAAAAACTCAAGACTTGTCAGGTCAATGATACTACCTAAATTTGATTGCACACATACTTTTTGCTGGGCATTGCCCTAGCCATTTTTTGTAGAGTATCTTATGTAACTCCACAATGACCTTCCAAAGTAAGAATCTTTTAAATCCAGACTACAAATTAATAAACTGAAGCTGAAAAGGCAATTATTCAGCTCAAAGGGATTTATGGGATGATTTAGTTGACATTTTTTATTCAACAAGTGAGGGTGATGAAGGTCAATAAGAAAAAATGATTTGATCAAGAGGACACAGAGGATGTTATGGATTTGGAAAGAAGTTATTATGATTAGTTATATTTTTGTTTTTATTTTTATTTTCTTCTTAAATCAGGTTATTATTATTATTTTTAATCCTCACATAAGGATTTTTTTAATTGATTTCAGAGAGCAAGGAAGGGGTGTAAGAGAGAGAGAGAGAGAGAGGGAGAGAAACATGGATCAGTTGCCTTCCACACACACCCGACCAGGTATGTGTCCTGACTAGTTTGAACCTGCAGCCCTTTTGGTGTATGGGATGATGCTCCAACCAACTGAGAGCCACCCAGCCAGGACTTAAACCAGGTTTTTCTTTAAGGAATTAATTAAAGAATATTTATTGCTTCAACCATGACACCATACCCACCACTCACATAACTTCAGTGTGTGAGGGGAGGGGTTGGGGTGAAGTGAGGAAGCATATTTTCTCTTCCTGCCTTCCTCTGCATTAAGAATCCATAGCCAGAGATCAGACCTAATTCTTAAGGAGGCTCACGTGCCATCTTTGCATAACCTGATGGCAGGAATGAAAATGTCCTGAATCTAAGACTATATAATTTCCCCAATTCCATAACACAAACATTTGCAGATCCTGGAAGAAAATTGCTCTAATGATGTCTCCTAACATTACCACTGGTCATACTCACTTTCTCTTTTCTCAATCGCGCAAAGTCATCTTCCTCCCCTTTTCCACATTTTCCTTTTCATCCCAATGCCCATCTCCATCTGGTCCATTATATGTGTCTAGTATTTTGCAATTTGCAAAATGCTTTTCCATACATTACCCATCTCATTCACACATTTGCCTTATACAATTGAAAGACCACATATTAATATTAGTATTTCTATTTTCCAAATAAAGCGGCTGAGTCAGGGTATAATTAACTTCCTAAAGATTCCCCAGGCAGGGCTGGAACAAGAATACAAACTATTTGGCCATAGCAAGAGAGGAACTTATTTTCACTTTTATTACTCTTTTTATCACTTTATTATTCTTCTGATTATAAATGCAGTATCGGGTAAGAGGGGACCTCTATTAGGTAAAGAACAATAAAAGAAAATAAAAATAAAGGTAATCAATAACCTTGATATCCAGGCATAATCACTGCTAAAAGATTTCTAGAATGCTTTCTATAAGAAGCACATATACAGAAAACTCACATATACTTTGTAATTTGCAAATTTGAAGTCATACTTAATTTATTATTGCCACACACTTTTTCCAGTTGACATTTTAGCATTTTAGCATGCGTATTTTCCTATTTCAATAACAGACTTCTGTAGTCTAATATGCTGCTACATTTAAGGTATTTATTTATCTGATACTTATAAACATCCCCTCTTTGCATCCTTTTCCCTTTATTTTTCTGCACGGGTGGATCTTTGGGGGAAATGCAAAGACATATACACATTTAACATGTATAAACATGATGGGTATTTAACTTATATCTGTAGTTTACTATTCCTATGTTTGTCTACAGAGAGCACTACTGGCTATCGGCTTTTCTGGGATTCATTTATCAATTCACCTACTCACTTAGTAAGTGTTTATTAAGCACTTGCACCCTGGAAGTCCCTGGTCATACACTGGTGAGAAAACAGGTCCAGTCTCTGCTATCATGGACCCCGAAGTCCAGTCCCCGTCCCTGGGGTGTTTGGAGCATGCCCCGCTGTCCACTTGGGCCACGCATGTTGTGACCAAGAGGCGAGGCTCTGGGACATGGGGCCCATCCTAACCTTCCTGAGAAAGGACTTTCCTTAATCCCCCAAACTCCCAACATTGGGCTGCTATTAAGGTGCTCCCCCTACCATTTTTTTCTTTTATAGCTTCAGGTGACAAAGCTTTTCTGAGCCCGAGACATCCCCCTGCTGCAGGGAGTCTAGGCCTTGGGGAAAGATCAGCATCAACTCTCTGCAGTGCCTGAATCTGCAGGAGCGCAGGTGGATAGGCTGAACTTCTTATGCATGTTTTCCATCCCGTTCTTTAAACTGCTTTCTGTTTCTGTTCCTCCCCGGGGTCTCTGATGACCTACACATTCTCTCTTTCCACTTTCTCACACTTGATCTGTATGCTGTCTCCCTCAGCTTTAACAACAAATAATGGTTATTGAGATTTCATTCTTACTATAGAGATACAATGATCAGGGTGAGCTTTTTTTCTATTTTCCTTCCCTCTCCATCCTTATGCAAGACCTCAAACTTGAATTTTCATTCAGCTGCTGTCAAAAGTGCTTTATTTATGTACGTGGATCTACACTATTCAGTCTCTCAAACTTTTCTATATTCAAACTTTTCTATACTTCCCCCTAATCAGCCCCACTGAATACAGCCAGGCACCTAAAAATTGCATAATCTGGATATATTACCCTGTCCCTTAATCCAAATCCAGCAGCTCTTACGGAATGAAACCCTCCACGGCATCCACTAAGAACAAGCAAAACAAAGGAACCTCTCTAGTTTGTTAACTCACATTTGAGGACCTGTTTTCTATTACTTTGTTCACTATGGAGTAGTTAAAGATCCTCGCATTTTATGAGTTCGCAGCACGCAATCTAGATGCATTACAGCGCTGTCAATAGCTGGCTGCGAAAGGTCACCAGGCCGCCATGTCTCCTTTGTTTCCTTCTCAAGAAGCTTTGGAGATGCACTTTTTGGCTCAATTGCAGTTTTTCTCTCCTTTCCTTAGTTTTATTCAGTTTTCGTTTTTAATTGCTTGTTTGTTTAGTTGTTATTTACTTTTGATTTTATTTTAAAGGAGGAAGTGAATGAGGGATCCAATAACAGTAAGAAGAATCATTTACATATGGCATATAAAATGCCAGGCACTGTTCTCAAGGATTTATATTTATATCATTTAATCTTCAAAACAACCCTTTTTGTTAGATACAATTGTTAGCTGCATTGTATAAATGAGGACACTTCGGCCCTGGGAAGTTAAGTACCTTATTCAAGGCCACACAGTTAACACTCTAAATATAGAATGTGAACACACGCCTTCTGGCTCCAGATCTTGTATTCTTCATCACCATCTCTGAGTAGCTGTGTGACTTTGGTCAGTTTTACTTAATGTCTCTGAGGCTCAGTTGTTTTTTTCACCTATAATATGGCACTCTAAAGCCAAATTAGTAGTTGGTTTTGCAATTAAATAAGACAACATATCAAGTGGTTAGCTCAGCACCCAGTACAGCAGTGAGAGCTAAACAAATGTGACTTTCCCCTCCCCTTTTCCACAATGCTAAATAAATATAAGGGATTAACTCTTCAACTATAACTTCAATGTCAGATTCATCACAATGGGCCATTTTGGAAACTATCTTGATATATTTATATTCTTATCAAAAGTGACTCAGGTTGGTTACCTAAATTGTTTTTCCAATTGTGTATTATAAATTTCATGTGGCACAGAACAATAGACACTATAGGATGCTATATGTAAAATATAACCTATGTATTTATAAAATGTAAAATACTATATATACTGTGAAGTTAGAGGATAAAGACATGGACTGGAAAGATACACACAGAAGTATAGTGGTTGCATCTGGAGGGAAGGAAGAGAATGAACTTGGGAAAGCATAAAGGAATTTCAAAATTATCATTTTTTAAATTTGAAAAAATATGAGGCAAATATGAAAAAATATCAATATTATTATCAATATTATTCT